AACTTTTCAAACCCTCTACACCAAACATAAGTGTGTGAAGAAAAATATAAGTTTTGTTTTTGTATTCTCTTCTTCGATCGTCATTTCCATCAACAATATCGCAAGGCCCTAGGTTTTAGGATTTTAACAAATCAAGCTTGAATTCTGAAACGTTTTTATATAAGTTAACAAGAAGAGTTTTAATTAAATTTGAAAATGATTAAACTCGAGGCCCATCGCCATTGATTTTACCTTCATTGATACATGATCTAATCGTCTTTCTTAACTTGTGGGGTATCCAAATTCAGTTCTGCAACAACAACAAAAAACTCTTTTTACTTAGTATCAATAAATCGCTCACAAAAAAAATCACTTAATTGTCCTGATCAAAGTAATTTTTTTTTGTTAAACACAATCAAATGAAATATATTACTTACCGTCTATCCACACGGAACGATTATCTTTAATTATCTCTAAGATAAATGATGCATCTTCATGCGATTGATTGTCAACACCGTCATGTTCAGCAATTGCTTCTTCGTAAGCTTGATTAATTAGCCAATTTACATGCTCTATATAATTTCAAAAACAGCTAAATTGTTATTATTTATAATGTGTAAAAAGAATATGAAAACTTTCATACATGTTTTCATTAAAACGCAAAGACTATATATACCTTTCAGTAGATTTAAGGACTTCATAATACAAAATCGCGAAGTTTAAAGCCAAGCCAAGTCTAACAACATTCGTTGGTGATAAACACCTCTCTGCTATCTTCATTGCAACCTACAAGTACATACTCTTCTTTATCCAAACTAATATAAACATCAAACAACAAACTCACATATAAAAACAGAGTTAAAATTCGATTTAAAACGGACCTTATATGCCTCATGAGACTTATCCGCAGCTTCTTTACGTTCATCATCGATCAGAACCAAACTCCGCCAAATATCGAAAATAATTTCCTTTCCTACATATACCAAGAAACAAAATCATCAACAAGAGAGGAAAAGATGAAAATGAAGATGAGTATGAGATGTGACTCACATTCTATGGAAATAGACCATTGATTCAACATTGGAAGTTGATNGAATGAGATGAAAATCAATGAGAGACAAAATGTCGTTACAAACATTGAACAACTCATTTTTAACAATCTCTTGTTGTTTCTTGATCNGTTTCAAACTTAGCCGGTTTCCCACTGAGACTTCCATTCTTTCAATCAAAGATAATGTTCTTAATGAATCTNTCTTAGTCACCATCACATTCTTNTAGCTAATTGTTAGTAGCTCTCTCTCCTCTTCACTTAGCTCCACTTCATGTTCACATGCTTTTCTCATCGNTTTCANCATATCTGCCACATAGCATCGATCTTTTGTAATCNTATGTAATGAATAACAATAATATTTGTTTTCTAACAAAAAATGACTCTATAATCATATCGACTCTGTGACAAAAAAAAAAGCCCATCTCGACTCGACCATGAAAGCGTAAACCAACTAAATAATTTAATTCAAGATCTTGTTAGAATGTATATACCTTCATATCTTCCAGCTTCATAAGCGAGCTTAGCCACATAAATCAGCTTTTCCCTCTCATTCTCCATAGCTTCCCCAATCTTTTTTTTTTAAGTTAACTAATGGTGATAATATATATATCAAATGGAAATAATTAAATAAGATATTACTAAGGAAAAAAACTAAAAAAGATAGTAAGTGATATATTTTATAAAGAAACAATTAAATGGAAACATTTAGGAGGATAAGAATATAAAAATAAAA